CATTTACTTTCTTTCAATTTCAATTATGCCAATTTTAATTACGCAATTTTAGTTAAGCTTTCAATTCAATGGCAATTGATTAAATTCTTGCCATTGAATCGTAGTGACAATTGATTAAATTCTTGTCATTACTTGGCTGATGGCAATTGATTAAATTCTTGCTATCACGTTTCAGTGGCGATCGATTAAATTCTTGCCATTGTATTTGGCTGGTGGCGATCGATTAAATTCTTGCCATTGTGTTTGGCTGATGGTGATTGATTAAGTTCTCGCCATCTGTCTTCACTCGGCCATTCCATCCATTCAAACATTCATCAGCCGTTGCATTTCTTTAGACACTCTAAAAAGTCCTTGCTACAAACAAGGCATAAAAGAACCTTGCTGGGAGTTCTTACTAGTCTCTCTTCCACACAATCGCCTGAGAGTCAGCCATCGGAAAAAGGGATAGGCTGGTGTTCAATTACATATTTTGGGTATTTTGTACAAATACTCTGGCACGCCCGCGAAGAGTCCATCGACCGGCGTAGGGAACAAAAACCGCGCGAACACGTTTTGGCACGCCCGGTGGGACCACTACTAGAGTGTTATAAAAGAGGCAAATATGCCGCGGCCCACAAAAAATTCTAAGGCCGTGGCTACTGATGAAGATTTGGAGGAAGGCGATCAGCCAGTACAGGCTGAGAACTCTGCAGCAGGTCCTACTGATGAGTTAGCCGTACTTTAAGCACAGGTTAGCTCCTTGGTAGATGCAATGGGAAGGATGGGAGCACGCTACAACGACTTGCATGAAAATATGTCCCAACTCTCAGCCTTTATTTTGAACAAGCCGACTCAAGCTAGCAGCTCCAACAATCAGGAATCGGCTTCTCAGCCGAATCTATCACAAGCTGCTCGGCCAGAGAGGGCCATTAAAACATCACAGCCATGGCCGCCAGTAGTGACACTCCAACCAGGTGCAACATCAAGTCAGCCGGTTCATACGCTACTCACCTGGGCAGAAAGCTATCCTCAGCCTACGTTGGCAGGTTCTAATCAGCCACCAGTAGCAGGTTCGCGGCCACAGGTAATTCCACCAAACCCTCCTCGGATGCCTTTTAACTCGGGGGGCAATCAGATCAGGTGGAGGCCACCGAACCCACTGTATACTCATGTGCCGCCACAAGTAGGGCTCGGGGGGCAGAATATGGCTAATCAGCCATATGATTGGCCGAATTGCTATCAACCAGCGGCTAATCAGCCGCCAGTTTTTAATCAGGTACCACCAATATTAAATCAGCCACCTCAAGTCATGTTAGATAGAAGACAATTAGCTGATTTACTCACAGAAGAATATGGCCTGGAACTTAGAGGTGCCGGCCGACCAATTTATAGAACTCCTTATCCAGAAGTGGTAGACCAAGTTGAGTTCCCTAGAGGATATAAAGTCCCTGATTTTGTAACCTTTAGTGGAGAGGGGAATCAATCGACCGTGGAACACATTGGCCGATTCACGGTTCAATGTGGAGAGGCCAGTGTTAGCCCGTGGTTGAAATTGAGACTTTTTCCTAACTCTTTGACAGGGGCAACTTTTTCATGGTATATTCGTCTACCTCCTAACTCTGTTTTTAATTGGCCACAGATGGAGGAATTATTCCACAATCAGTTCTACCGTACGGAGACAGAACCTACTCTGGCCGATTTATCCAGGCTAAGTCAATTGCCTAGTGAATCGGTCGAGACATTCATTGCAAGATTCAGGAGAGTAAGATTAAGATGTCGTGTACCTCTTCCAGAACAGGAGTACATTCGTTTGGCTTTGAACGGCCTTGATTTTGAACTTCGGAAGAGGTTTGAAGGAGTTCCATTTCGTGACATGTATGACCTGGCCGAGAAAGCTACCAGGTATGAGTTGGTTCTCAAAGAGGAGAAAGAACGAAAAAATTCCTCTAAAGGTACGTACTATAGGGACCCCAACTATGAAGTTTATTCAACTGATGTGGTTGAAGAGGAAGATTTTGAAGCTAATTTAGCCGAAGTCATTCTAAAGAAGCCTTATGTATGTGACGCTTTAACAAAACCAAATGTATCCACCAGTGGTACTCAGCCATCGACTTCATCAGCCAGGAAGGGTACGACTGATACTGGTAAGGTTTATACGTTTGATCTGGCCAAAACAGAACAAATTTTTGATCATTTGTTGGCCGACAAACAAATCGTTTTGCCAAAAGGACACAATATACCATCGACCAATGATTTAAAAGGAAGAGAGTTCTGCAAATTTCATAATTCATAGAATCATACTACTAACAATTGTTATGTATTTAGAAATGTATTGCAGAAATCTATCGATGAAGGTGTATTGAAATTCCCTGAAAAGAAGCCAGATGTAATGGGGGTCGATGGCGATCCATTTCCTAATATTGTCAGTACCAATGTAATCAGCCTGACAACTGAAAAAGCCGCTGATAATGGTAGACAGGAAAGATTACCAAAAGTTCTTAGTAGTTCATCGGCCAGTAATGATGAACAGAAAGTTAAGGACTTGGAAATTCAGTTAAGAGAAGCTCAAATTGCCCTCATCAACCATGGTTGTTGTCCAACTTGCAAAGGCCGAAGGAATGACTCAGACAAGAGGGGCTATTTCCAATCAACCAGAAAGCGCAGTGTCCATGAAAGGTTAGGCCATCAGCCTAGACAGAATCACGAAGAAATCAATCGATCAATATTTAGAGAAAATGGGCCGAGGGCAGTGAGAATCATTCGGTCATCGGTGGCCGATAGAGTCCTGCCAGAACAACATTTTTATCCTAGTTTCAAAAGGAAACCAACAATTCAGTCAGAAATATGGGTTCAAAAAGGAGAAGAATCTAGCCGTGTAAGAACGGTTAGACCTCCTTTGGTTGACCATGGCAGATGGACTCGAGTAAGTCACCCAAAGTTTCCTAAGCAACCTCCTACACGTACTCAAAAAAGGAAGATGTAAAGAAAAAATGCAGAACTCAAAAGGAAAGAAGACAAGATCGACCATGATCAACTAGAAAGAAAAAATGAACCAGTGGTGGCTGAAGACATGGAGGTCGCTACATCCTTTGAGAATAAGGCATGCTTTTATGAAGAAAAAGAAGATCAGCCAGACCAGGATCCAAAGCATGCGGCCAAGTACAGAATTCGTTTTGGTTCTCTCCCAGATGAGGTAAATTGTAACATGGTATTTGTTTTGCCTTCTGTGTTTGAAGCAAGGATAAAACCAACGATGAACAGGGATGTTGAGTCAGCCAAGCAGGAGGAAAAGGCTGAATCTTCAGAAATTAAGAACGATTCGACAAGTTCATCGGCCGGGATAGGATTGATCTCTCAGGATCAGCCATCTAAGGCCGATAAAATCATTTTCGAAAAACCACCTTTGTCCATGACACAGCAGTTGAGGCCGTTGTATGTTAAAGTATGGGTTGAGGGTCAGCCAATCAATAGGGTTTTGGTTGACAATGGTTCGGTGGTGAATGTCATTCCAGCAACTACTTTAAAGAAATTGGGTAAAACCATGGACGATGTAGTTCCAACCGACGTGGCCATCAGTGGTTTTAATGGAGGATCTAGTAACACTAAAGGTATTCTACCTTTGGAAATTACTATTGGCGGTAAGACATCCTTTACGGCTTTCTTTATCATTGATTCAACTGCGGCCTATAATCTCCTTTTAGGCCGAGATTGGATTCATCCTAACATGTGCATCCCATCAACCTTGCATCAAATGGTGATTTTTTGGGATGAAAATGAGGTAAAAATTGTTGAGGCCGATAACAAACCTTTTATAGCTAGGGTGTATTCGGCTGAGGCTGCACTTTATGAAGAAACTGTTGTACCTATCAAATTTGTTGGCATTAACAGGATGGGACGACCAGCAGCGGCAACAATGAAGAAGAATTTAATTAATGCTAATATTAAAGAATTATTGTCAGAAGCAGCTCAGCCGAAAATTGATATTTTCAGGTCGACCATCAAGGACATTGAAGATGTTACTGATGGATCACAAAACCAATGAAGAAAAGAAGCAGCAAGCTTTCAGGGCCGCTTGCATAAGACTGAAAGCATATCTGGCTGAGAAGAGATTGGCTAGAGAAGAACAGCTATATGAAGAGGTATCGGCCAGCACGGCCGATATAATTGAAGAAGGTTTCGAAAAACTAGATGTAATCCAACTTGAAGATTTGGAGTCAGCCCCTTCCAGGATGGAAGATAATAAAGCAGAGGTGCAAGATCCTTTATTGGAAATAAATGTTGGTACTAAAAAAGATAATCGGCCATTATTTGTTAGTGTTTTGCTTAAGCCTAAATTCCAGGCCGATTTGATTAAATTATTAAATGAATATAAGGATTGTTTTGCTTGGAGTTATGAAAAGATGCCTGGCCTGTCTAGAAAATTGGTAGAACATAGATTACCGATCAAGAAAGATTTTCAGCCATATAAACAACCACCAAGAAGGATGTCTTCGGAAGTAATGCTCAAAATTAAAGAAGAAATTGAGAGACTTCTTAAGGCAGGATTTATTCGAACAGTTAGGTATGTTGAATGGCTGTCTAATGTTGTTCCGGTAATGAAGAAGAATGGCAAACTTAGAGTTTGTGTGGATTTTCGCAATTTAAATAATGCCACTCCAAAAGATGAATATCCAATGCCTGTGGCCGATCAACTTATTGATTCGGCCGCTAAGCATGAAATATTGTCTTTTATGGACGGCCATTCAGGTTATAATCAAATCTATTTAGCCGAGGAAGATATTCATAAAATGGCTTTTAGATGTCCTGGGTCAATTGGTACTTTTGAGTGGATTGTGATGCCATTTGGCCTAAAAAATGCTGGGGCTACTTATCAAAGGGCAATGAATTCTATCTTTCATGATATGATTGGCCGATTGATGGAAATTTATATAGATGATGTAGTTGTGAAATCATCGGCCAAGAGATAGCATTTGGAACACTTGAAAAGGGCCTTTGAAAGGATGAGGATTCACAAATTGAAAATGAACCCATTGAAGTGTGCATTTGGAGTTTCAGCCGGGAATTTCTTGGGGTTCTTGGTACACAAACGAGGTATTGAAGTTGATCAGAACAAGGTCAAAGCTATTATAAATGCTAGGGCCCCAGCCAACAAAAAACAAGTGCAAAGGTTCCTCGGCCAGGTAAGTTTTCTTAGAAGATTTATTTCTAACCATGCTGGCCGAGTGCATGTCTTTTCGACTTTAGTGAAATTAAAGTCACATGAGAAATTTCATTGGGACGAATCCCATCAGAAGGCCTTTGACAAAATAAAAGAGTATTTGGCAAACCCCCCGGTTGTAATGCCTCCAAGAAAGAAGTGGCCGTTAAAGCTTTATTTATCGGCCGCAGAAGAATCAATTGGTAGTATGCTCGCACAAGACAATGAACATGGAAATGAGTAGGCTGTCTACTACCTGAGTAGAGTACTAACTGATGTAGAATGCAGATATTCCTCAATTGAGAAGCTTTGTTTATCTTTGTACTATTCGGCCATGAAGTTGAGAGTATACATGCGGCCTGTTGATGTTTACATTCTTTATCAGACTAACGTGATCAAGTATATGCTATCAAGGCCATTGATCACTGGCCGAATAGGTAAGTGGGCTTTGGCTTTGATGGAATTCAATTTTATCTACGTCCCACAAAAATCAGTAAAAGGAAGGGTTCTGGCTAATTTTTTGGCCGATCATCCTTCAACTGATATTGATCCATGGGTTTATGATGAATTGGAGTCATCAGCTATATTCTTAACTCCTTGGATCTTGATGTTTGATGGATCAAGCACGGCTGATGGAGCAGGAGCAGGTATTGTTATTATTTCGCCAGCTGGCAGAAAGGCTTCATTCTCTTTTTTTTTAGATTTTAAATGTTCAAATAATCAGGCCGAATATGAAGCGCTTATAATCGGCCTGGAGATTTTTATTGAAATGGCTGTTAGAGATGTAAAGATTTTGGGAGATTCAAACTTAGTCCTTAGCCAAATTTCTGAAGATTTTAAATGCCTAAGTTGGCAATTAAGGCCGTTTCATTCTCTGGCCACTTCATTAATCAATCAATTTGATAATGTTCAACTTAAGTTCTGGCCGAGAGGGCAGAATAAGGAGGCCAACAGCATGGCCCAAGCAGCCTCTGGAATAAGAGTACCAGTCGGAATAGAAAATCAGTTGATAAAGATAACACGAAGATCTTTGCCATCGGCCGAATTGAGAAATACTATGTTGTTTGATACTTGGACAACTGATGTAGAAGATTTGGCCGACGATGACTGGAGGATACAATTTATAATGTTTCTTCGAAATCCAAACATCAAGGCTGATAGAAGTATTAAAAGAAAAGCGATCAACTTTGTGCTTCTAGATGGGGATCTATACAGAAAAGGGTTAGAAGATGGGCTCCTATTATAATGCATAAGCAAGGAGGAATCACTTCAGGTTATGGCCGAGGTACATGAGGGCAGCTGTGGGGCTCACCAAGCTGGGATTAAAATGAGATGGCTGATTCGCAGGTATGGATATTATTGGCCGAGGATGAGGAAAGATTGCATAGATTACTCAAAAGGTTGTCAAGCTTGTCAAAGACACGGGCCGATTCAAAATGTACCAGCAAAAGAATTACAGCCAATAATCAAACTTTGGCCATTCAGAGGTTGGGGCCTTGACCTTATTGGTAAAATTAATCCACCATCAAGCGAAGGCCATCACTGGGTGATTGTTGCCACATATTATTTTACTAAATGGATTGAGGCCAAGGCTTGCAAAGCGGTTGATCAGCAAACAATGATTAATTTCATGGAACAAAACATCATCTACAGATTTGGGATTCCAAAAACACTTGTTTCAGACAATGCAACAGTATTTAGGGCAACTGATGTACTACAATTCGGCCACAACATGAATATTCATATGTCAGCCTCTACGCCATACTATGCTCAAGCAAATGGCCAGGCCGAATCTTCAAACAAAATTTTAATAGAGATCATTGAAAAAATGATCAAAGATAAGCCAAGAAGGTGGCATGAGACTTTGTCTGAAGCTTTATGGGCCTATAGGAACTCAAAAAGAACAGGCATAGGAGTTTCACCATACATGTTAACTTATGCTTATGATGCTGTTCTGCCTATGGAAATGAAGGTTAAATCAGCCAGAGTTGCTTTTCAAAATAATCTAACTCCAGCTGATTATACTCAAGCAATGTTGGTAGAATTGGAAGATTTGGATGAAGTTAGAAGGGATGCTTTGGATCATATCATTGCTCACAAGAAGAAGGTGATGAGGATCTACAACAAGAGGGTAAAACCTAAGTCTTTTGCTGAAGAAGATTTGGTTTGGAGAGTTGTTTTGCCAGTGGGTAAAGTCGATAGGAAATATGGGAAGTGGTCCCAAAAATGGGACGGGCCATACTTAGTCCATCAAGTCTTAAGTGGAGGAGCATATAGGCTGAAGTATTTCAGTGGCCGATTACATGACTACCCCATTAATGGCAAGTACCTCAAGAGGTACGTACCAGCAATCTTTGAAAGGGAAAATTAGTGTTAGCTAGTACTTATGGCTGACCATGTGTACCTTTATATAATAAAATTCGGCCTATTTTTCTAGGCTGATTTGGTTATTTTAATAAAAAATTTCTTGCTAAAATGTTGATACTTGTTTGGAGTAACAAAAGAGGCCATTTATTCATTGAAGTGTAAAAGATTACATCATTTAAAGATCATACACTAAGATGGCCACAAAAGGAAGCTAATATAAAAAGATTCATATGCTTGCAAATTTTTCCTTGAAATCGGCCCAAATAACTAAGGACCGATTGAAGGCCACCATGGCCTGCCTCTTTGACTCTTCCAACTGAGGTAATTCTCCACGAAGATTTACATGCTCGTGAGCAAGGTCTTGAGCTTCAAACTGCAATGTGGCAGCTTCAGCAGACAAGATGGCCTTACGAGCATGGATCTGGTCGATCTCTTTCTGAAGGACATGTTCTCTTTCTTCAAGGCCGATGAACTCTGTATTCACTCTTTCAAAGGAGGAAGCTTGAGTTAACAATTGGTTAGCAAGGGTATCCTTCCTGTTCTTACTCTTGTTGAATTAGTTGATTGCTTCATTGGCCTGGAAAATATCATCGGTCAGAGTTGGTAGTTGGCCTTTAAAGGTAGCAATAGTGGCTTGAAGTTCAACCGGAAAGTCTGGGTACTGGCTGAGTGTAGAAAGCACTACTGTGAGCTCACTTTCAAATTGAGGAAGATCAGCAACATCTCTTTTCAAGATCTCAAGTAAAGATTTTTTGGTTTTTTCTAAGGATTGTATAGGGATATTGGCTGAAGTGACTGGAGTGGCTCCAGAAGATTCACTTTCTTTCTCTTCGGTCACTGAAGCTACCACATCCTTAAAGAAATTGCTCAAGGCCAATAGAGATGAAGCAGAAGCTTTTTGTGGAGGAAATAAAGGAACAATTTGAGTTTTCTCATACACAACCTGACAAAATGAGGAAAGATTAGATCTTAAAATTTTTGGGGTTATGAGATAGTCAATACCTTGGATGATTCGGCCATGTCTGTCACCAAGAGTGGCTGATGACTAGTTACTGGAGGAGTAAATTCTGGCTGAACCACTGTGTTATCTCCTTGGGATGAAGTTTTAGCAGGAGTGACTTGAACATTGAAGGGCACCTCAATGGGATCATGAAAATCCTTCAGAGGGCTGAAATTTCTAACCGGACTATAGACCAAGTCAAGAAGAGGAGATTGCTGCAAAAGAGAAGAGATTAAGGATGTTATTAATTGAAAAGTTTGGAAAGTTCAAGTACAGTTATCTTTACTTCTTTTTCATCTGAGGAATGATCAGAAGGATCGTCAGCCACATTAATTACAGGATCATCGGCCACGTCTCTTGTAGGATGAGGGTTTTCTAGATTTTCTTCTACTTCATGTTTCTTACTTTTGCTCAATCTTGTCTTTTTTAAAGTACCATGAGCAGTTGATTTCTTTCTTTTTCTTTGGAGATGGAAGCTTTATTAAAGTTTGTCTCGGCCAATAATAGTTGTGGCCAAGAATTAGAAATCAATATTGGCCAAGTATTTTAATAATAGGGCCGATATGATTATCATCGTATGTTAATGGATAAAAACTTTTACCTTTGGAGGGGCTGGAGGAACATCAGGGATGACGACTGATTCAGTTGATGTAGGCTGAGGAGGTTGGCTTGAGTAAATTTCATCATCTTGGGGCTCAACGTTCTCTGGATTAGGCGAGGCTGATAAAGTTCCACTGTCTGAATCTGCAAAAAAAAAAAAAAAAAAAAAAAAAAAAAAGGTGTAAGAGAAATTCAATTAAAAGTTCTTTTAAAAATATATATATATATGCAAGTAAAGGAAGATTGTACCTTTGAGAAGGCTGGCAGTAACTTTGGCCTTAGCTTTTCTCTCTTTATTGATCCTTGTTGGAGCATCTGCTGGCTGAGAGAAAGGGAGTTTCTTGACCATTTGTTTTTTACCTTTGGGAGGATCCTTTTGAGGCACCTTCTTTGGGGTAACGGCCCGGGAAATTACGAATACCCCTTCAAAGGCCACAGATATGAACTTGAAAGATTCCAATATTTTAACAACAAGTGACTGGCTATCAGCCGTCCTTGTAGAAGTAATGTAAGAAGACCACCATTGATCAAAACTAGAATCTGAGGCTGGGTTCTTGATGAAGGGTTGGAATTGGAATCCGGCTTGCAGATTTGAGAACCGGGAGGACACGTTCTTTACATAGGAGTCATCTGGAAATACCACACGCCTATGGAAGTTTTTGTTGAAAGAGAAATAAGGGGGCATGGGGATCATTTGAGTCAGACCAAATTGCCTAGCAAGTTGGTTTGGATTGTAAAACTCAACTCCAACTTTTGAGTTTACTGTGCCTAGAGGGCCAGTGTTGAAGTGAAGGTCTCTTGAAAGTAAGAAACTAGTCCACATGGCCGAATGCTTATCAGCTGATTTTTTGGTAGACACTCCTTGAGGAGGAGTCAGCCATCGAGGTGCTTGTGAGCAATGAGAAAATGGAAGGAATTGGCTGATAGTCCTCTGTTCATAACCGGAGTAAAAGAAATTGAAGCAATCTCCAAACGAATGGGATTTAGGTACGGCCGATGCGTAACTTACAGAAAGTAATGGGTCATTGGCTGAAGGCCTCACCACAGGTCCGAGCTCAGGAAAGTACACTTGAAGCCAAATTTGAAATAACTAGAGGGGACCACCATAGCGTCCGAAGTTGGAGGTAAGCAAGTCATAAATCCCTCTATATAAATAGGAAAGCACCAAGGGAGCAAGCAAGGTGTTTACCTCTTGAAAGGGCAACGGCCACATGAATGAAATCCTTTGTGACTTGAAAGGCCGGTACACATAAAAGAAACTTGTTCAGCCAGGCCAACAAAAAGGCAATATGTTCAGCATCATTCACAGGGACGCGAGGATCCATGGTGGAAGTTAAGTACTTGCCATAAGAGGATTCAGATGACTTGGTTCCAGTTTGCTTTGAAGGGAAGCTGAAAGGAGAATCCTCCTCTACCAACAAGGTACTTACATCAATCCCAAAGGGTTTGAGGCCGGTTAGATAGCACACGTCTTGAATGGTTGGAGCCATCATGCCATACTTCAAGTGTAAGGAGTTGGTGGTGGTTGACCAATTAAACATGGTTGCTATCATCAAGGCCCTGTCTTGGGCGATGTTAGTTTTACTTAGCTGAATGGCATCATATATGCCACAATCCTTCCATACTTCTCCCTTCATAGCTCCAACCCGGTCGACCCAATTGATCCAAGCATCATTTGGAATATGCCATGTTCTAAAATGAAAGTGTGGCAAACTGCCATTTTCATTAGGAGGGAAGGTTTGAAGGAATGGAAGAACGTCGGCCGAAGGATAGAAAGGTGAGATTGATGAAGGAGCTTCGTCAAGGAAAGCAGGACCTAAGCCTTTGAAGTCAGTACGAAGATCGATAAGGGTATTGAGACAGTATTTGTAAGGAGATAGAGTTTTTAAGGATTTTTCTATGATGTTGCCATGGGTTGAAGGATCGGAAGGTTGAGGGATAGAGGTGGAATCAGTTGATTTAGTTTTCTTAGGAGCCATAGAAGACGTCAGGAACGATTTTGCCGAGAAAGAATTTCAGAGATAGAAAGTTTAAGGGAAGAAGAATGATTTTAGGGATTAGAGAGCATCAAGCTAAATATTTGCTAGATGTAATAGCGGATTAGTGTAGTCACCGCTTTAATTGGGAAAGATAACCATTAAAGCAGGTGGTTGGAAAGAGAATTTATTACCAAAATTTGAATTACAATTTTAGGCCGATTCAAATTCCAAACGCTTCGTATCATAAGTGATAAAAGCATTTGAAATTCAGGGGGCATTTGTTGGCATCAAAACTTGGCAGCCACTTCAGCAGCGACGTGGACCAATGGGAAGCCGATAAGTGTTAAGCATGTCTAAGAATGGTCGGCCAATGGAGAAATAGTAGAAGAAGATTTAGGAAGATATCTATATATTCAGCCACCTCACCAAAAGGGTTGTTACTAAACAACCGAGACTTGTGTTAATTTCAAAAGGAAATTTCTAGAAATAAAACGTTTGGAGAAGTTGGCTAAGGTGACATAATTAAGTTCCTATAAAATAGGGATTTAGTTATGAGAAAGGAAATTGAATCCTTATGGAAATAAAATTCAAAAGGAAGGGGCAGCCACGTGAGTGTATGGGTCAAGGCTATAAATGGTCTTCCAGTCATTTAAGGGAAATATTTCAGTCAAGCTTGAAGAAAGAAGTTGCTAAAAATTAGCAACTTACTAGCAATCTTCCAGCAGCTTTCTACCGACTTCTTAGCAATCAATATTTTCTTCAACAAAGGTATTCTATTTGAAGCAAGACGAAACAAGAGGAGAAGAGACGTGAAAGACTACTGGAGTACGACCTATTTTCAGCAACAAAGTAAAGCAAATCAAGGAAAAGAGAGATTTCAGTAAAGACTTTCCCATTGAAACTGGAGCATCGATATTGAAGGCGAGGAATGTTGGGCCGTAGCTCAATTTGAATTTCAAAAGAAAATGATTGAAGCAAGAGAGATTTTAGCAAGAAATAATTAGAAATTAGTTGGTTTTAGAACTTCTATAAATAGAAGTATTGTATTCCATTTCTAACTTGTCTAGCACTACCACAAAACATGCATTTCAACTAAAAATGTTTTCAAATGACTCTACGTCAATTTCCTATCAATTTCTTTATTTCAATTTAATGGCAATTGATTAGATCCTCGTCAACTATTTCGATTCAGCCATTTACTTTCTTTCAATTTCAATTACGCCAATTTTAATTACGCAATTTTAGTTAGGCTTTCAATTCAATGGCAATTGATTAAATTCTTGCCATTGAATCGTAGTGACAATTGATTAAATTCTTGTCATTACTTGGCTGATGGCAATTGATTAAATTCTTGCTATCACGTTTCAGTGGCGATCGATTAAATTCTTGCCATTGTGTTTGGCTGGTGGCGATCGATTAAATTCTTGCCATTATGTTTGGCTGATGGCGATTGATTAAGTTCTCGCCATCTGTCTTCACTCGGCCATTCCATCCATTCAAACATTCATCAGCCGTTGCATTTCTTTAGATACTCTAAAAAGTCCTTGCTACAAACAAGGCATAAAAGAACCTTGCTGGGAGTTCTTACTAGTCTCTCTCCCACACAATCGCCTGAGAGTCAGCCATTAGAAAAAGGGATAGACTGGTGTTCAATTACATATTTTGGGTATTTTGTACAAATACTCTGGCATGCCCGCGAAGAGTCCATCGACCGGCATAGGGAACAAAAACTGCGCGAACAGGTGGTGGTGATGGAATTCGTATTTGGTTGGAGTCGATGGTTGCCTGAAACCATGGAACTCATGGTCGACCGAACCAATAACTAATCAATCTCGAAACTCTTCATCATATATCACCATTGACAACCACAAACTCAATCATCAATCAATCAGAACCCAAACCCTAAGTTTCGTGATTAATTGTATGGGTCTGTTCCATGACGCATTAAGTCTTATGGGAGTGAGAATGGTGGTGGTTGTTACGGGATTCTGGTGGTGTTGCAGCCTGCAGCGGTCGTCGATTGTGGTCTTGCTCCTGTTTCTTTTTGTTACGGTCAACTTCATCCTCGCCATCGTTCGTGAACTATCTGCTGATTTAGGTTCACGTAGAGAATCACAGAGTGGCGACGATGGGCGGAATTGGGGCAGCTGTGAAAGGGAAGGGTCACCGCCGCGATGATGGGAGGAATTGGGGTTGTTGTGTGTGTGTATATATATATATATATATGTGGGACTGCTATATATATATGTCTGTGAAGATGATGAAGGGGAAGGGTCGCCGCCGCGATGATAGGCGGAATTGGGGCTGCTCTGTGTGTATATATATCTATGTCTACGTGTATATGAATATATATATACATGTATATATGTATGTATGTGTATATATATAATTTTGTAAATTTACAAAACTATTAAGGATATTTTAGTCTTTTAATATAATTTTAGGTTAAAATGTTATTTGGACAAAATCAAAAGGCATTTAAGTCATTTTACATAAGTTTATAATGTGAGTGATAGTTATTTTCAAAAGATATTTGAGGGTGTAATATGGTCAAACCTGATGGGGTGTGAGTAAAATTAACCCAATAATTTATGCGCTACTGAGTTAAATTAGGGTTAATTTCACTAGCAACCCTAGGTTTGGCCAAATATCATTCTCAAATATCTTTCAAAAATAACCTATGAAGCACGGACACTCCTCCCAGGAGTCCTGTACCAGTGTCGGACACTTTTCAGATACGGACATGCGTGTCCGAGCTCAGACATGCTTGGGACACGGTTCAGACACGACAGGGTATATTTTGTAATTTTTTTTAAAGATAAATGGGGTACCTAATGTAATTTTTTAGAAGTTTACAAGTAAAATTTTGGAAAAAAAAAACAACTATAAACAACAGAGCACTACACAGTAAATTTATTTTCTCTTACTTCCTCCCCCAGTCTCTCATCTTCTTCAATTATCTCTATATATGAACAAAACAATTAATTAATTAATTAATATATATATATATTTTTTTAAGTTACATGAACGGACTTTGTGAAGGACTGAAAATATATATATTTATTCATGTACATATTTAGCCCACTATAACTATGTTTCTTCTGTATATCTTCGTTTAGAATTTGGATCAACTTTAATTTTCATTTATTTTCTGTTTTGTCTTGTTTATGTTTTTCTTATAAGAGAGATGAAATTATTGAAATTGGTCCTGTTATTAGTTGTTGTTTTGTTGTTTGTTATTAGGAAAATGAATGTGCAATATTCTAGTAATTATATTTTGAATATCTAATTATATATATATATATATATATATATATATTATTTTATAGGAATATTTCTGCCGTGTCTGTATCCTATTTTTTTTAAATTTGCCATGTCACCGTATTAGTGTCGTGTCGTACCAGTGTTTTGTGTCGATGTCTGTGCTTCATAGAAAATAATTATCACTCACATCACAAATTTTTGTTCCGTTTTTCACTAACAATGACTTAATCACCCTTTGAATTTGTCAAACCAAAGACTAAAATACCCCTAAAAAGTTGTAAATTTACAAATTATATACATACACACACACATACACAGAGACATATATATATATATATATACACAGACATATATATCACACGTTACAGACAGAGATATATATATATATATACAGACAAAGACAATCTGCTTCCACACTCGCAGGAAGATATGTTCATTCTCTCTTTCACTTCTCTCTCTTTTTGCATGAATCCATTTTTTTTTTTTTTTTCCCTCTCCCTAAGCCCACTCCAATCTCACAACAGCAGCAACCATACCCCTTTCCCTCATATTTTTTTTTGCATTTTGACATTCAATCCTACGAAAATTAAGGATCCCTTCTAGTGGGTTGAGGACCTGATGTAATAATTAACTTGTACGATTTCTAAATTATGCTCATACCTAAAAGTGCCAAATTAAAGGTTTTTTTTTTTTAATTTTTAATTTTTTTTATTTATATGAAGATAGTCAGATACATACCAGATGTTATTTGAAGTTGGCTCAACTAAAATTTCAGTTAATAATACTGTCAAAGTCTCAAAGCACTTGCCATCAGAATGTACATACACATGGAAATCAAAAGCAGGCTTTAATAAAACAAAAGTTAATGGTTTTTTTCTATTTTATATGCAGTCCTCGATTCTATTCTATCTACGCAGCATGTTCAGGCGGGCTTCTTACCCCTTAGCTAGAATGCTCCGCTGGTCCGGGTCTGGCTCCACTAGCAAGCCCTTTAATTACAAGTAGACGAACCAGCTGGTCTCAGAGTAGTTCTTTCTTCCTCGTGCCGGTGAGTGAAGCTAGCTTCCGAAAGTGTCTAGAAAACCATTTTGATCGCCCCTGCCATTTCTTCCTCTCTAAATTCCAAGGCTTAAGGTTCTTCGAAGCGGAGTGACATATATGTATATACTATCCCAACCCATCACCACTCGTGGCCGCCACCACTCACACAATTCCAACCTACCACCCATCAGAGGATTGGTTCCTCAACTTGTGACTGGAATCTGCAACTCTCCACCGCCAAAGCCCTCTTTATCTCTCGGCCTCCTCAAATTGGGTCTCTGCTAGGTGGGTGTGGGTATAATGGTCATTTAGGTACGAAATAAAAGAGATTAAAAAATTAAGGTTAAAGTTATCTTTTCCCATGTATTTAACCAAACATTTAACTTAAAATTATAAATACATTTAAATGATATTAATTTTAAGCACTGTGAGTTACCATAATATTTAACTTTTTATAATATATATTCAACAAGAGTTTTTTATTGGATAGTATTATTTATTGAACAGAACCCCTTAACGATAAACAACACACACCTTCACTTGCTTTGCTTTGGAATCGAATCCTGTTTCTCACGGCGTGGGACAATCCCTTTATCGACCTTCCCTCCATGAACTTGCTGGTATATCTCTCTCTAATACGCTTTATGAATGTAACATATATATATATATATATATAGGGTATAGTTATCATCTTCGGTCACTTTGAAGAAGTTCAAATTCTTCCATTTGTAGTTGTTTCAGACTTTCCAATTTCTTCTCTCTTGGACCCATTTGCTTGAAATTTTGATAGGAAAAGATAAAGATGGGAAAGAAAGAGCCAGACGATCCGACGCCGTTTCAAGGACCTGTGTTCTGGATTGAAACCTCCGACGCCGTCTCTCGCCGCTACCAATTTGACTCCCACGGCCTACTATCTGTGAGTCTCTCACTTTCTTCATACTTTAATTTTCCAATATACAAATTCAAACAATATATATATATATATATATATATATATATATATATATATATATACACTTTTATGCTTCATTTCTTATTCTGTATTTACTAAATTGACTATCCATGAATAGTAACTGGCACTTTTGAATTTGATAATTTATTGCATTCACATAAAATAAGAAAATTGAAAAATAATAATATAACAGTAGCTATCCAAAACCGTAAGATCACTTGAAATCATCATTTTCGATACTTAGGATCAGTAATAGAAGAAAAGGGGAAATAGATTATGACATTACTAGTAGGATTGAAGTAGGTTGGACCAAATGGAGATAAGCTAGTGGTATCTTATGTGATAGAAAAATTCTAAACAGGTTAAAAGGAAAATTTTATAGGACGAGCATAAGGCCAGCTACCTTATATGGGGTACTGGGGTAGGGTGTTGGACGCTAAAAGAGGGATAAGAACAACGGATTCACGTAACTGAAATTATGATCCTGAGGTGGACAATAAGACTGAGTAGGAAAAATAGATATATTAATCAAAATGCGAGGGAGATTTTAAGAACAGCGCCTATTAGTGATAAAATAAGAGAATAAACTTAGGTGGTATGGACATAGAACGTAGACCCATCAATTTGCCCGTAAGAAAGGGAAGAGTAGTTTGCATAGAAAGTAAGACACCGTGAGACCAGCCAAAACTAATGTGACTTAAAAAAATTAAATATTAGAGGAGACACGGTGTATATAGAATAGAATGGAGAGAGAGAATTCATGTGGTCAACTCCATTCACATAAAAGTTACTTACATGTTGTAAAATACAAGTATTTAGATGATGATGCAATAGTTCTCTTCAGACAGTAAAACAATTAATGGATGTAAACGGCAAAGCTCAAGTTAATAAATGTGGAACCCGAACATAGTCATGTTGGATGCTACTAATTCTGGGTTTGTGTTGGTACATCTACTTCCGAGTGTTTACTGCCTATCGGATGCCGAGAGGAATTCATTCTTATAAGACCAGAATTCCCAAGAGTACTTTCTTCTTTGTTCTTTGGTTATTTGGGTAGTTTGTTTCTGAATATTTGAAATAAGTGATCTTCTCATGTTAGATATGTTATGATCTTTGCAAGGAAGCTTTCAAACTGATATTATGGTTGTGATGTTGGCGAATCTAAGCAACAAATGGCATTTGGGAACATTTTACCAGACACCTATCTGGCTTTGTAAAGTAGTGATGTATGTACTTCTTGTTGAATTTCAAAAATGGATGTGATATAATATCAAAAGTTGATAGATCATCGATGGTTGACATTAGAACAAAAGCCAGTCAAATTCTACCATTGGCCCAGGTGGTATAACCTCTCATCCCCAGTGGGAAAGTGAGGGTTCGATCCCCATGTGGGCATTTGTGAGGGTCTGTGAGTGTATGCGTGAGTATTTACCTAATAAATATAAGTAAATAAATAAATAAATAACAGTTAAAAGAATCGTAGTTTAGCTCATAAGGTGGTGAAGGGAAGAATGGGCATTATATTATAGGTTGAAGTTGATTCTATATTGCACATGTTTGCCACATAAGTCAACCTCAACTTGATTGATTGCAGTCAAATTTGCTTCCCATTTTAAACTGGCAGGAAATTGAAGTTTGATTGATCTGGTGTAATGTTTCCAGTTTAATGGAATCATTTTCTTGTTGAGAGATTAGTGAATATGTTATTGCCAGCTTTCTGTTCCCAAACATAGAATCTCAAAATTGAAAATTTATCATGGAGGCCACTCTGCAGGTTAGTTGAATGGCATTTCTATATATATACGGCATTACAGCTGTATACTGAAGTGCAATTAAAAGTTCAAAGCTAAATATTATATCTATGCTTGAGCTATCTTAATCACGAAGAGGTTAAACTAGTGATTTGATTTTTTATTTTTGGTAGTCCAAAGTTGTTAATGCTGTTGTTCTAGTCATGATTGCATGATTCTTAATTAACCAAATGCTTTGTTTGAAGAACACAACGTGTCATGGATAACAAAATTCTTCCACCTTAGATGAAGCTTTCAGATATCAAGGACCAGAGCATCTTCTTGCTTCTGCTAATCTATAAAAGAACCCATGTGATCTGTGCAGGTAGAAGTACGAATAAAAAAAAAAAAGAAAAAAAAAAAAACATTTACAGTCACAAGCCTGTGTAATTCAATTGCAATTTGGCTATGTGTGCTGGCAACCAGCAGTAGGCATCACATGCTAGATTGCAAGCGCATGTTCCCATAACTTGATGATTTGAATCCATTGAACTTCTCTTGCGCCACTCGACCAAAGTCTTCTTGCTCCACTTGACCAAAGTCTAATCATGCCCTTTGCTACAAGAAACTGTCTCCTGGCAACCATGTCTTCATTAACGTTTTCATTTTTTTTACTATCCAATCCATGATCGCAAACACCGTCTAACCATATCCTTTCATTGTAACTATTTCAAATCTCATTCATCCATTTACTCTTTGTTTTGTGCATTTCCCAGACACCCTTCACAAAACAATGGGCAGAAAATTTTCCTATCGCCAAACTAAACATGTGCACTTTTTTTATTAGCATCCATTCCAATTCAAGTTGATGGACGCCAACTTTTCCTTCCCCACCACCACACGCAGATTCTCACTTAGTCAGAGACAAGGGTAGCATAGGCATCTATTTAGTCATTTAAGTTGTGATGAGGTGCTCTATTTTTGGAAGGTGATATCTGTAGTTCGTGATAGTCTCATGACATGCATCTGTGATGAATGGAACATAACTTGACGGATTATAATGTTGCATGGAGCTTGATTCCACCCTGAATGTTATTAGATGCCTTTGCAGGTCAACGTAGGTGAAATTTAGTAGTATTCTTCTGCAGTAATTGTTTTAGACATCTAGAATATGCTTTCAAAACTGATTGACCTGGAAATTTTGAGTTCATTTGTAGGTGAAGGTGGTTGATGACTCAAGACCAGTATTTCATAGAATGGTTGAATCCTTCCTGAATCAATTTTTTCCTTCAGGTTATCCATATAGGTGAGTTAAATTGATTTATTCTTGTCTGAACTACAAGCTTGGCAAATGCATTCAATATTTTCACTTTAGCTACCAGTGCTATGCTTGTGCAGTGTGAATGAGGGGTATCTTAGATACTCACAGTTCCGGGCTTTGCAGCACTTCTCCAGCGCAGCATTATCTGTGCTATCAACCCAGGTCTTCCTCTAATACCTACAAAGCATTTGCAGAGAAACAGAAGAGCTGTTTATTTTTTTTTACTTCCCAAATTATTGATTTTGACATAGAATTTTACACCAAATAGTGGAATGCAAAATTTTCCCATGGAACACAAATTTCCAGCTCTTCTTGTTTGTTTTCTCTTTATTATCTGTGTGTCTTTGTGTGTGCATTTACAGACTTGATGAGGTTCAAAATTATTCACCTTTTGGCAAAATACCATCTTTTTTACTTAAAATTTGGAATAACCACCTCTACTGTGGGGGAATTTCTTAATGTTCTTACTCCTTTGCAGTCACTGCTATTTGCTGCAGGCTTGCGACCTACACCTGCACAGGCAACTGCCGTGAGTTGGGTAAGATATTAATTTGCTTGACAGCTACAGAAATCCTACTCCTGTGGGCCTTTTGTTTATGAATATTTTGATTGTGTTGATACATGCAGATTTTAAAGGATGGCATGCAGCATGTAGGAAAGCTCATATGTAGCAATTTGGGTGCAAGGATGGATTCGGAGCCCAAAAGTTGGAGAGTTCTTGGTATGCATCTTGGCTCCAGAAAGTAGTGTTTCTTCCCCCTCCCGCCCCCCTCCTCTCAAAATAGTACTATAACCTGTTCCTCTTGCTACTACTGTTGACTGTTAAGTGGAATTGCATAATTCGATTTTGTGGCTTGCCATAATGTATCCCTTCTAGATTTAATGAAATAAGCCTCTACCATGCAGCTGATGTGCTCTACGACTTGGGCACTGGCTTGGAAGTTCTTTCCCCCTTGTGCCCACACCTATTTCTTGAAATGGCAGGCCTTGGAAATTTTGCAAAGGTAAGTTCTTCACACATTCATAATTTATATGGATGACTCTAACCACTCTCAGCAAAAAAAGCAATAAATAAGTACTTTTGTTTTGTAATTTTGTTCATTGAATCATTCTCTCATCTCCAAACTTGTATTAGTTCTTCTGTTCGCACATCTACGTGAAACTTTATTTTCTTTGTGGTTGGTTTGACAGGGAATGGCAGTTGTTGCAGCAAGAGCAACAAGATTGCCAATATATTCTTCATTTGCTAAAGAAGGCAATCTTAGTGACCTATTTGCAAAAGGAGAGGCCATCTCAACTCTTTTTAATGTTGTTGGATTAGGAGTAGGGATTCAGTTAGCAGCTACCATCTGTTCGTCAATGCAAGGAAAGGTACATTTTCGGTCATTGTATATTATTTTGGATATTTGCATTCAACTGCTTCTAGTTTTATTTTATTTTTTCCCCATAAATTAATAATGGTCATGACATCATATCCAAAGTCTTTCATGTATTGAAAACAATTTACACGGGAAAATGGGTTTTTCTGGGTTTTTCTTTAATCTTATTGTTACCAATGTCCTTCACTGAAAAAGATGAAGTTTGATGGAGTTGACATTCTGTGGTATAATTGCAGATCAAGACATGCCTGATGCAGCTTTAATTCCTGTTCTTTCTCTATTTAATATTGTTCTTCTTGTTGTTTTGTGTGTTTGTGGAGGGTGGTGGTGGATGGTCTAACTATATTTTTTGCAGTTGGGTCCAATGCCTACTTATATGTATAAAAAAGCAAAACTGCTCAAATTAAAGTCAAAGATTGAGCTAATATTCTTTTATGGTTTTATTTGTGGTGTACTTTTCATAATATAGGATCTTAACAGTTTATGTTTTAACAAAGGATCACGATTCTAACAACTTCTTTGTGCTTTTATATAGATAAAGTATGTTTTTCTTGGTGGGGGTGGGAGGGAGAACATTTTTAAAACGAGTGTCCCGAAAATTCTCAACTCTGCACAAATTGAACAGTAAACACGCTAGATTTGCAAAAGTGGAATGGATAAGAAAATTTATTTATGGTTTCTTAGTGTAAGCATTATTTTGATACCACAAAATTAGCCCCATTTTTCTTCGTTTGTCCAATATCATGTAAAGGCTCTTATGTTACATTCTGCAACGTTTGGCTTAGCATATTATGAAGACCTTGAATGCAGGGCATTTCCAAATATATATGGGGTATTGTACCATTTTAAATCTCTTATGATAGTATGCACCTTATCAGTGTAAATTAGCCCCATTTTTCTTCGTTTGTCCAATATCATGTAAAGGTTCTTATGTTACATTCTGCAACGTTTGGCTTAGCATATTATGAAGACCTTGAACACAGGGCATTTCCAAATATATATGGGGTATTGTACCATTTTAAATCTCTTATGATGGTATGCACCTTATCAGTGTGTATTTTTTATTTTTTTACTTTTTATGGAACTATTAATTTTTTTTTTTCCTAGTTGATACTCACACACACTCGTCTCTTCTGAGACTTGAACCTCTGACCTCCCTTTGGGAAGTAAGACGCTGATACCGCGCTATTCTGAAGCTATTTGGAATAGAACCACCAAGTTTTGAAGTTATGTCCCCTCTGACTGTTTCCTCCGAATACACAATTTGAATATGCTGGTGTGGTTTCGACGATTATTTACAGTATTCCCATTTTGAAATGGAACGATTTAATGAACTCGATGCTGGGACCATTGCAGCAGTCTCTCAAGTTCAGCAAGAAGCTTTCAGGTTGGAAGAACATCAGATAAATTTTATTTAGTGAACACTTAATTAATAGGAGGTTGATTTATTTATTTTTTTGATAAGTAATAGGAGGTTGATTTATGAATCAAGTGTTAACCATATTCAGACAATATCGAAAATTTTACTTCGGCCTTTTGAACTCATTGGTGCAACGGCCCAGTTGCTGATTCCAGCATTGTTTTAACCACACTCTGGAACCTGGAGCCCTGATGCAATGAGTTTATTTTGCCAGGCTTCTAAGATATCCTGGAAACTGTAGATGGCACCATTTATTTATTGTAGTCTCCTTTTGGTAAATGGCAAGGTTTTATCCTTTTAACTTAAAGTAATATTCTGTTTTTTTTATTTTTTTATTTTTTATTAATCAAATGATTTATAAAAACTAAAAACAGTTTAAAAGAAAGACATTAATATAGATGTACAAGGCTTCAAGTTTCTAGTGGATACCAGAAAAGTTAAGAGTAAAAGGAAATTTGAAGCATGGTATCAGTGCTTGATAATGTTGATACAAGTCATGGGTAATTCCAGAGCAGTATGAATCACTTCTTCACATGGGTTGTGCTTTACTAGGACTCTTTTGGTTTTGTTTTATATGAAAGATATAGTGGATCATGTCGTTCTTTTCCTATGAGAAAAATAGTGGTACTGATCATTGATAAATTTTGCAGTTGGTTGTTGGATCTCTTCTTTCTGTTATACATGTTTACTGTGTCTCGGAAGAAATGCGAGCTACCCCTATCAACACATTGAATCCACAGAGAACTGCAATGATTGTGGCTGATTTTCTTAAGGTTTATAGCCAAATCCTGCACTTTAATATATTTATTTGTAATATTTTTTTCATTTAGGAGGTTCTTTCACTGGTGTCCAATTTAGACAGGAAAAATATCAAGCCCTGCTGACCTAAGATACAGAGAAGATCTTCTATTTCCCGGCCGTCTCATAGAGGACGCTGGAAATGTTAAAGTGGGAAGGTCTCTGCGCAAGATTGTCAAGCCTTCAAAAGTTCGCGAACTTAAAGAAATATTCCCTGAGGAGAAATTTTTTATAAATCGTGGAACTAGATGGACCGACATGGTATTGGAGCACAGTGCTACTGGTGAAGATGCTTTGAGGGGATGGCTTGTCGCTGCATATGCTGCAAACCTCGAGAAGTCTGTCCCTGAGCCCACTACTGCTGTTTTACCGGAAGCCTATGAGAGGATGAATGACGTGTTCTATCCATTTCTCTCCGAACTGCAGGCTAAGGGGTGGCATACTGACCGGTTTCTTGATGGAACAGGAAGCCGTTTTGCGTGGTAGTACGATATTGTTTCAGGTAACCCATCGAAATTTTTGGGATAGAGATTATCTTTTGTGATTTTAGTACTGTATTAGAGAGATTGAGGAGGCAGGGGTATGTTCTTTGCACTTGTTGATTGTACAGACTCCCATTAGGTCTCATATGTTAATATTCTTGAAGGAGAAGTTTGAAGAAGAAATGGAAGGTTTTTGGGTGGTATATTCTCAAATTACTTGGACACTTTGTGTTGTTTGAAATTGATCTCAACTAGATCACTGATGAGGCTGATGATCTGTGAAAGCTCTGAACTGTGATAGACTAGAATAAGTAAGCTCAATTGAAGAATGTTTCTTGTCAAGTTTGATAATCTTGTATGTCGATTAGTTTGTACTACTCGTTTTTATGTTAATCTCTCTTTTGGAAATATATAATTTCGATATATATATACAAAATTGCAAATAAAATCCAGCTGTTAAATTTCTAGAAAATTAAGATTACTCTTATGTATAAAACGGCTAATATCATCTGGGCAAGTAAGCGCGGGTGAGTCTTGCCGACTTAAATTCAAATGGTGGGCACATGATCAGTGCTGTGAGTTGTACCTTAACTGAGCTTTTATGTTGGACCTGACATTTCATTTCAAGTGGGCCCATCCTAAATAACATATTGGATTTGGATCTTCTTCATTGCTAAAACGGACTTTTTATTTGGGCTCGGCCCAAACAAGAACTCAACAGTCCATACTCGCAGAAATGACATTGGTCTCCAACCCAGAAACCGCGCTAAATGATCTTTTGTTATTGTTTTATATATTTATTTATTTATTTGTCTGAGTATTGAAATTTCCTAGAAAAAAAAAAAAAAAAAAAAAAAAAAAAAAGGGGGGGTTGGAATGGGGTGTGTGAGAGTTTCAGGGCTTCCTTAAACCCCGACTTGGTCAATCATGGGTCCCACAGTCCCACATTGACCCTTAAATGGTCTAAATTACCCCTCTCAAATAAACACACGCTATAAGCTACAGCTATGCATTTAAACGCACAATCACATAAACATAAGCCAAGTAATAAAACATGGAATGCAATGAACCTAAAAAATAGCTCGGGCATGGGGCCCACATGGGATCTTCTGAACCACAATTCAGAAAAATGCCAAAACAACTTGAAATGCATTTATAAGATTTTTAAACTCCAAAAAAATCCTAAACAACTCTTGGAACCTACATGGCACACTAAACGGTGTCGACAAAACGAGGCGAAACATAAATAAATATGAAAAAATTGAAAAATGCTAAAAAAAATTCAAAATGTCATAGGTCGTTATAGTTACACTCCGTGATGATGAGAACAACCATTAGGAAGGTAAGTGAGTGTGTGAGAACACTTGTATGGTTTCAAAATTAGGCATTTAGAGAAAATTTTCTAAGATAAATGTTGTTTTTCCATTCTGCCCAATTTGAACCGGTTCTGAGTCATGGAATCGGTTCAACTTTCAAAGGTTTTTCAATTTGGCCTATTGAAACCGGTTCAACTTTTAAAGGCTTTCTAATGGATTGCAAATCTGGCCAATTGGAACCAGTTCTGAGCCTTGGAACCGGCTCAACTTCGTTGAACGAAAGAGCAACTTTAATTCCTAGTATATATGTTTTGACTTTCTATTTTGGATAAACTTTTGCAATAATGACCATGCACGAAATTGACTTGTTTTTGAAGTATTTTTAGGTCATCCAAAAATCTATATAGTTTATCTTTTAATCTAAAATTAGTACGACTTTTGAGAATGTAATTTTTCAACTATTTTGAGAGAGCCTTTAAGAGATATTTTTTAATTCAGAAAATCAATTTGACTTTTTTTGATTTAATTTTTTAGAGCACACACATAAACACAAGAGTAATTTAGGAGTGATATTCTCTACCTGATCAGAATTGGAGTATAATTGAAGATTCAGAAATTCCGATAAGCAAGATTTTATCTACCTTCACATAAAAATTAGATTTAAAGAAGAGAGGTATTTTAATCATATTTTGAAATAGTCAAGGCATTCACGGAATGTTATTGATTGACCAACAACTTTTCTATAAGGTTCAAGGAGTAAGTCTGAAGTTGCGAGCTGTTAAACGAGGGAGTCGCAAAACCAGGGGCGATCGGCAAATTGGGTCTTGGTAGAGTGAAGGGATGTGATCCTGAATCAAAGTTCAGTGTACTTTGCTTAATACATAGTGGATAGATTCGACTGGGATAGCATGAAAGTCTTTGAGGTTTTTCTAATTGGTTTTCCTCGCTAAAAATCTTTGTCATCTTTCAAACTTTACTTTACTTGTTTTACTTTATAGTATTTATTTTATGGTTGTAAATATTTAATTGATCATATTTGTAAGTAAATTAATCAATTACAAAAATTGGACAAATTAACCTATACACCCCCTAGGAGTTGATCACAACTTAATCAATTGATAACTTCGGTACCACGTACGTCACGTGAGTAGCTGAGTTCCAAAAGTTATTCTGGTTGCTCCTGAGCAGGATGTTCTTTAACTCGGTCCAACAAGGTTTAGATATAATTTTTCTGTCACTTAACATTTGATGCTTTATGAGGCATTTGGCCAAATGAATTACCCACTTGAGCCAACTATTTGATTTATATATATATATATATATATATATATATATTAAATGTATGTCAAATTTTGACGTCAAAACCATTGAATCAATCTGTATTGACAAATGACATGTGACTTCTATTTTAGAAATAGACATTATTTAAGTCCTCATCAGTTATGATGTGCACTATGCTAACTATTCATGATGTGGACCAATAATATATACACACCTCCTTTTTAATTATCAAATTAGAGATGGTAGGATATATATACTCATTTACTAAATTAGAGATGGTGTATTAATTGTCATCTCTTATTTTAAAATTAAAAGAGTCCGTGTCTATTTATTATTAATCCACATTTTTGGTTAAAATTATGTACATTCTCATTAGTGAGGACTTAAATATTGTGTCGTTTAGAAACTATGTGTTGGATTTGATTTTATTTATTTATTTATTATTATTTATGTTATTAGAACATTTTTAAATTGTAAAAGTTGAAATAATAATGCCTGATTTAACTATACCAAATCATTATTAATAATCTGTTAGAATCAACTAATAATAAGTTAGAATTTCTCAACTAGAGTACTAATTCCCACGTGGAGGCACGTGACACATATGCCTTGGGCAAAATTTATTATTTCAAATATAGCCTTGTGACTGTTATACTATTGTATATACACCTAGACTGACCCAAAAGCTTGCTCCGTTCATACCATTTCGGTACACAACGGCGGTAATGAGAGCTTTAAGCATTTGGATGTATGACCATGCAACATGTTGGTTCTGCATGCAGTGCATGAAGCTTGCAACGGGGTTAGTGCCAGAACGAGATAAACTGAGCCTGTTGGTTTGAACAGGGCTTCCTTGGATTTGGGGCTCGTTGAACTGAATTGTGCGTAGGCCTGCAACTTAGGTTAGCCCAACCCAGCCTAGTCCCAACCCAGCTTCAACCCTAAGCGGGTTGGATTGAGCCAATCCGAATTATACTCAACATGGGTTACGATCATAACCCGGACCGAATATTTTCGGACGGGTTGAATCGAGTTGACGGGTTGAGTTTATTTATTTATTTATTTTTTTTTTTGAAAATTTATATATAGAATATGTAATATAATATATATAAAATATTATATATTAAAACAAAATATTTTTAGGGCAAATCACTTCAGCCTCCCCTATCACCTCCATCTCCATTCTCTCTGAACCCCCACCCCCCCCCCCCCCCCTCTCTCTAATTGCAAATTCAAAACCTATTGCAAATTACAAAATCTACTTCTCTCTCTAATTGCAAATTCAAAACCCATTGCAAATTACAAAATCTACAAGAATCAGAAGTTCAAAACCCACATATTTCAGTTTTATCTAACTGTCTGCAAGAATCAAAAGTTCAAAACCCACATCGGCATATCATTTCAGATTGTTCAAAAAATCAAAACCCAGATCGGCATATCATTTCAGATTATTCAAAAAATCAAAACCCAGATCCCTTAGTTTCCATCGCCCGCTGTTCCAGTTCGGGTTCGCAAGCTTTAGCCGCTGTGTCTCTCTCACTCTCTCCATCGCAAGCTTCAGCCCCTCTCTCTCTCTCTCTCTCTTTCCATTGCAAGATCTCCAAGATTGTTCAAAAAATCAAAACCCAGATCTCTCTCTCTCTCTCATTCCATCGTAAGCTTCAGCCACTGACTGCTAAATTGTATGTATGGGCAGAGAGAGAAAGAGAAAGAAGAGTGAGAAAGAGGAGAGAGAAAGAAGAAAAAGATTTTATTATTATTTTTTTTTTTTGGGTTTCGGGTTGGGTTCGGGTTGAGCCCGAGCCCAACCCAAATATGTCTGGGTTTTAACAAAACCCAAAACCCAACCAAACATGAACCCGATTTGTGAATTGTATGTCCAAATTTCAAAATCTCCAGGTTGGGGTTGGGCTGGGCTGGCTCGCCCAAGTTGCAGTCCTAATTGTGCGTCGATGTGGGTCGAGGTCACTTGTAGCTTTGCCAGTGTGATCTTCTCGGTTCAGTCATCTCTGCAAGCTCCTGCAACATGGAGCTCACTTGAACGGGTTTCCTCGGAACTGTTCACTTTGAAGGTATCTCGCCGGAGTTGATGGATGTTGCAATCCTATACTCTCAAATTAGGGACTTAAATTAGACCTCATGCAGGTCTTTGAGTAGTTCGGTCAATCTAGCTATTTTATCTCTGGTCTCACCGGAACTGACAAACTGTGGTATGCCGGAGTTGAGCAAGCTCACCGAACTGGTTCTGTGAACTTCACCGAATTGGCTCTGTGAGTTTCATCGTTGGGTGGGTATTTCGAACTGTACTGAAGCTCGTCGGAGCTGGTTTTCTTGGTTAGGTCACCAGAGAAACTTACAAATCGTGGAGCTTTAACTTCTGTCACCTGTACAGCTCGCCGAACTAAACTAAGATTGACGGACAAGCGTAGGTGAGAGAGATAGATAAGGAGAAAAACAATGGTAGGTTGATGAAATGGAGGTCGGTCGAGGAAGATGGGTGCGCATGATAAACAGGGAGGGGGCGTAGGATTAGAGGTACATATATAAACTCGGATGAACATATACATATAAATCTTCTTTTTTTGGGGTTAGGTATGGCTTCTCTATTGGTTCTAAAAATTACATTGTTACATTAGCATTTCAACAACATAAAACAACTTAGACGACGTAGTTTAACTAAGGGCTAAACGGTAATTTAGATTATGTTTAGTAACGAGAAACGTTTTTTTGTTTTTTGTTGTCAAC